ATGTTTCCTCACTTCCTGCACTCCACACAGCCTAAATTAAAACCTCTCTGTCTCAATTCCAATTTTCTGGGAAAGAGACCGGGAAGGGAGTGGCCAGCATGGTCCCCACCAGCTATTTGCAAGATGTCCTGAGTCTCCCCATGTGACCATGCCAGGCTCTTCTCCAAGACACCGATTAGTGAGCTGAATGGACACCTCCAAAGGTGCCCACCACAGCGACCCTGTTCCTCTGCAGTCACCCTCCCGAGGTGATGTCACCTCGTCACAGGTACCATCTTGGTGTGTCACTTTCAACGACCCACACCTTTTGTCTCAAACTTCCCTCTGTGCAGTTGCTCATCAGCTTTAATTCTTAAAGAACTGTCTCACTGAGGGGCTTTCGGGCATGCACAATGCTTGTGCTGAGAGCCACTGTCAGTTCAGGGGATATTTTTATCCCCTTTGACCTGGAGTAGCAGGTCTGAGCTGAGAGCCGGGGCAGACTCGGCCCAGGCTGTGGCGGGTTAATGCAGTGGGGGAGGCAACAGCAGAAATTCTATTATTAACCAGGCATCAGCTCCTTGGCCTCCTGTAATCCACACCGAGGCTGGGACAAAGGGATTTCTGAGTTGCTCTTATCCCCCCAGGAGCCCCAGGTGTCCCTCACTCGTGTTAATGACTTTCAGTCGAGGTTGCTTGACTGGCGAGCAGAGGAGGAGCGCAGGACAGACAAAGGGATGGGCCTGTTGGCTTTAGAACTGAGGTTGAACCGGTCTCGGGTACCTTGGGTTTCTTACCCTTCAGGTCAGGGCAGAATGTGCCCTAGAGAAGCCAGAGGCCTCAGGGAGAGCTGTGCAGGTCTCCAGACTCAGTTTCTAGGAAATTGGACTTCTGGAAAGCTGGAATGCCCGGCTACACAGGCATAAACACAGAAACCGCTGTCTTTGTAACCTCTGCCTCGGCTGGGATCTGGAACCTCTTTCCTGCCCCAGAAGTGACTCACAGGCAACCTTCGTCCATTACGCGGTGGCTCCCTCAACTCGGGTCCCGGCACATGCTTCCTCTCCTTGCTTCTGAGTTGAGTTTGTGAAGTGTCACTTAGCGTTCGTCAGGGAATCAGGGAGACTCGCTGGTCAACAGCGCAGACCCAGAGTGGAGTTGTAGGTGGGAGGTCGTCTAGTGCCTCCTATCAGAATGTCACACGCACGTCTCTGCTTTGTGAGGGGTGCTTGCGAAATAGGAAAAATTTCTCTCAGGTTGCTGGAATTCATTCCATAGCAGGAGCCTTGGGCAGACTGACTGGTTTTTGTAGCAGATGCTGTTTTAGCGAATGTGGAGTGTCCGACGCTCACTGGAGTCTTTCGAGCCAAGCGCCAAGCTGCCACCTGTTTGAGCCCAGACCCTGGGGCTCTAATTACGGTAGAGACCAACCGGTGAGGGACCGTCCATTTCAGCAGGACTCTGGGCCTGTACTTCTCAGCTGGAGGGCCTGAGGACTGGGAGAAAGGAAGCACCCTAACCAGCCTTTTGCTTTTTCTACCAGCATTCTCAGTTATGAAAGTAGCCGTGTCCCAGGGAGGCCCCCCACAGCTGCTCCAGCGCGGAGGGACTGGCTCCCGCAGCAGCCGTCGTGCCCTGCCCCACGCCTCACAGTTCAGCCGTTCAGAGACCTTGACTCCTCCCGGCTCCTGTCTGACTCCTGCTCCGGAGTTTAGCTCCTGTTAGAAGCTTTCTCCACTTCCCTCCCTGGGCTCCAGGCTGCTCAGGGGCCCCTGCTCTGTTCCCATGACGACCTCTTTGTGCCTTCACTGCACTTAGCACACCGGGAGCATGTGCTCCGCGTTTCTCTGAACTTCCTGAGAGCAGGTGTACGATTACATTCGTTTTCCAATCCTTGCTCTCTACTCGGGACCTGGTATCATGTGTGCTCAGTAAACATTCCTTCCCGTAGAGAACCTCCAAGGAAGCATAAAAGATCTCGGAAAGCCTCAGGAGGTTCTCTAAAGCCTGCATCTGAGAACGCAGACCCTCTCCTCTCGTGGAACCCTGCCACCCAAACCAGAGGCAATGGCTGCTCATTTTGGACGTTGTCCCAACAAGCCTGATGGCCTGGTTCCTTCAGGCCTCAGAAAGGCCACGGATGATAGTGTGAAGAGAGGGGCGTGTCAAGAGAGGGTCTCCTCTCAGCAAAAACATCTGGCAAGTGGATGAACACATTTTTATTTTTCTACCTTGGGACGTTAATTTACATCTTTGAGAGGATGGCACATTACTTTTCGTTGAGTCGTCGTTCCACCTGGCAGGCTTGTTTTCCCTTCCCACTTGCTTCCAGAGTCGTATGTAGCCTGGGGGTTGAGAGCTGTTCGAGGTGGTGCCAGACAGGAGGTTCAAAATGAAATTCTGAATGAAAGGAAGCCCCTGTTCTCTCAGTACTCAGGCTTCTGGCTTTGCTGCACATCACAGGTAGCTGTGCCCCTCTGACCCCGCCTGCATTTTCTGAGAATCTGCCTCCAGCGCTGGGCCAAGAAGCAGATGAAAGAGTGAGACAAGAAGGTAGTATTTCCTTCCCCAGATCTGGACCTCAGCCCCTGCTCTGGCTTTTCAGACTTGAGACCTGATTATGCCTGGGGGGAGCTAGACAGGGATAAAATTGCCCTTACAATACCCTCCTCTTTTGATGTCTAGTGCCTTAGAAACCCTTGCCAAGTACACTGACTTCCGGCAGCCTAAGGAATTAGCCACTTACCTACTCACCTAGTTCCGGTTATTAGGTATTTTGAGCTCTTGGAATTCGTGTGACGGCCAGTCCCAGCCATGAAGAAGGCGAACAGGCTGGTTGACAAAAATGTGTAAGGCTGACCAGCTTTTGAGGGGTGGTCTGGTGGCTTTAGCACCCGCGTCTTCATCAGGTCCCCCTTGGCCTTGGCCTCCCTGTCCAAATGAACACAGCATCGGCGTCACACCTGCCCGAGTGGATGCGTTCTTAGATGAGTCTCGCCACATACTTACCCTCCATCCTGTGCCACTGCTGACCTGCTCTTTCCACCCAAGTCCTTCCCATAGAGAAAAGAAAGAACGCCTGGGCTCTTCTGGACTTGTCCCTCCCAAGTCTGCTGCGCCGCTCACCTGTCACAACCGCATGAAGGCCCCTGGCTCGGTCTGATAGCCTATGGTGTTGAGTTTTCAGTTGGCGAACCACAATGGTGGTTTTGTTAATGTTTGGGTTTTGTTTTCATGTGTGTGAATTTTGCCATTCTATCTTTACTCTCACAGTTGTGCTTCTCTTGAACAGAGAGAAGTTTTCTAGAGCCAGGGGATTCTTCTCCTTTGAATTAAGGTCTTCCTTAAAATCAGGAATAGAGAGATCACGAGTTCTGTTTTCTGATGAAACCAGGGATGAACTCGGAGCAGGAAGGGCACCAGGCACAGCCTCTGTCCACTGTGTGGCCGTGGACATGTGGTAACACTAAGCAAAACCAGAGTGCTTCAAACCACAGGGAGAGAGGAGTTCTGAGAACACATCCTTCGTGAACTGGCAAATACCAATTTCCTTACCAAATGACCCCCCACCCCGGCCCCTACCCCAAAAAGGATGATGGCTGGCCCTATGGGGTTCTCCATAGGCCTTAGCCCGTATGTCCCTTGCTTGGAGAGACCTCCATGGACCCCCAGGCAAATGACCAGATGTCCGTGCTTTCTCCACTTTCCTTCACAGGATTTCCCAGAATTTGTATGTTTACCTGTGTATATAACTCCTTGTTTTTTTTAAGTAACGTGTGTCTCCCACACCAGACTATGTGCGAAGAGGTTGAATCTGTTTTATGCCCTTTCTGTTGGATGCCTGGCACCCCATTCGGCACTGGGCTAGCTATGGACTTCATAAATGTCAGTGGAGGGAGTCAGGAAATCCTTTGATCTTAGGGGTTCCTGAAACATAGCCCTTTATACTACCCGGCTGAGAGACACGCTTTCTCACGGAGCCTCCACATTTCTTTTATTGAAGTCTTAATAAAAGCACTTTGTTCACACCGCTTGTGTAGTACTAAGCATACTGCATGGGGAATCTTAAGAGCCCATTTCCCTCTCCCTCTCCCTTTTTTAAAGATTTTTATTTATTTATTTGAAAGAAAGCAAGAGCACATGAGAGAGAGAGAGAGAGAGAGAGAGATGAGAGCTTGTGAGAAGCAGGGAGGGGCAGAGGGAGAAGCAGACTCAGGGAGCCCGATATGAGATCAGATCCAGGACCCCAGGATCGTGACCTGAGCTGAAGGCAGACGCTTAACCAAATGAGCCCCCCAGGTGCCCTGAAGAGCCCATTTCATCAGCAGGGTTGAAAGCTCCTTCCAAGTGGACAGCATCGCGGTATTCTGCACATTTCCACTCCTGACTCGGGAATTTTCTGTTGGGCTGAATGGAATTTCTAACGTTGAAGCCACTTGGAGGTTGTCATTAGACTCCTGTTGGCCAGACTTGTCTAAAACAGTTTTCCTTTTTCCGTGCGTGTTCCCTGGTCAAGTGTGAGAGGACCTGTTAGACGTCCCTTGAGTTCTGTGCTTAACCCTGCGTGTTCCAGAGGAAAGGCATGTACCTTTCCATTTGTGTTGCGCTTCTCCGCTTTCCAGAACCCCATGATTCAACTAGGGATAGCGTCATTGTTCTCACTTTACTAATGGCGAATGTCCAAAAACAAATTAAGCTCGGGGTTGCACGGTGTTTAAGGTGCAGAGCAGCAATGAGAACCAGGGGCTCCTGAGGCTTTCCTACTTTTTATTTAATGCGGAGATCAAAGCTGTGTGGAATTCCTTAAAGGAGATCCAGGTGTTACTTCCCAGCCCCACCCCTATCCCAGGGGTCCAGTCCCACAGCCCTCATGCCTCGCACTGACCCTGACAGAGCGTTTGCCTCCGAGTTCCATGTGACAACGACCTCTTCTGCCCCTGCCACAGCCCTGGGTAGCCTGTTGACCAAGCTCTAGGCTAACGGCTACACCACGCTGGGTTCTCTCTTGTGTTTCTCTCCAGGATCGTCTGTTTTTCGTGATGGAATTTGTGAATGGGGGTGACTTGATGTTTCACATTCAGAAGTCTCGTCGTTTTGATGAAGCACGAGCTCGTTTCTATGCAGCAGAAATCATTTCGGCGCTCATGTTCCTACATGAGAAAGGAATCATCTATCGGTGAGTTTTGGTCTCTGGTAACCCCTCTCCTGATTGACCTCCTGTTTGCCCTCCTGGCTTCATCCACCCTTCCATTTTTCCTGGTAATCATCTGAAACCTTGTTAGAATTAAACTCGCAAAGGTCTGAGTGTCCGGTAAAATAAATGAATAACCTAGTGTTCTTGAAACTGGAATTCCCCCCATGTGGTCCACATGAGACCAGCTTCAGTGGCTCCACGGAGACTCCATGAATTCAGAGAGCCGGACTCTACAAGGTCCTGAACCCATTGTTGCTTTTTCCTGTTTTCCCTGGAAGCGATCTGTTCCATCTTCAGAATCCATACCTACACCAAAGAGCGCGGCTGTCGGTTGCCCTAATTACTGTGATGAGGATCTCATTCATTTGGGGCTGCAGCTCACCAGTCTAGGGGCTAAGAGGTGAACTACGGATGAGCAGTGTCCTGCTTGATAAAAGTTATCATTTATACCCCCTCCTGAATATTCCATTTCATGGCACACAGTCTTTTGCGTATACTATATATTTTGGACTTAAAATCTGGTTGCCATTGTTAGATCTCAAAATGCAAGGGGTACGGGTGGATGAAACTTTATTCAGGCATAAGATTAGGTAAGGTGGGAAATGCAATAGTTGAGTGTTAGACAGTGTTTATTCTTAACTTCCTCATTTGTTCCCTGAGGTTGGTATCTCCCTTTTAAATGACACTGTAACTTAATCACCACATAAACTCCTTCTTTCTCTTGAGATGCAATTGCTGCTTTCCTTTGAGGAAAAAAAAAAAATCATTTTATCTCAGGAGCGTGAATGTCAAAGTAAAGAATTCCCTTATTGAAACTGGCTATTTATTAGCCTTGCTAATGCTGTTCCTTTTGTGGGCTCAGAACCGTATTAACATCACGATAAAAGTGTAAGAGAGCTTTGAAAGCGGAATATTCTTTTTTTTTTTTTAATTTTTTTATTTATTTGACAGAGAGAGGGAGATCACAAGTAGGCAGAGAGGCAGGCAGAGAGAGAAGGGGAAGCAGGCTCCCCGCTGAGCAGAGAGCCCGACGGACTCGATCCCAGGACCCCGAGATCATGACCCGAACCAAAGGCAGAGGCTTAACCCACTGAGCCACTCAGGCGCCCCAAAAGCGGAATATTCTTAAATATCCTAGGAGTCAGAACAGGAAGAGGGGAGCAAGGCTAGGAAAGAATGCATCAGGGCTGGTCATCGATGCCAGAAGGAAGAGAGAAAGCAAAACAGATACAACAGGTAGGATACAGAAATGTAAATTCTCAGCACAGGGCCCTAAAACCTCAACTAGATGTAGCCCTTTGTCTCAGCCCCAGCTGTGAGGCCGGGGGGGTTGGGGGGGTGCGGGTGCAGAGTTCCAAACCAGGCTGGATACCAGCCGCAGGAGTCCTCTGCTTGGAAGTAGCCAGGACTCTCCATTCATTGTTTGGCCACAGAGCTGCACAGCTGGCTTTCAATAGCCTGTGCTCTGAGCCCTCTTGACCAGGCTGTTCCGGCAGCTCCAGCATGGGATTGCTCCTGCCACAGCATCCTGCCCAGTATAGGATTTGGGGGAGGTTGCTGACCCAATGTCTGATGGTGGAGGGAGTTCAGAGGTCTTCCTGGTGGTAGCATGGGACTCTGGGCCATGAGCTCTTCTTTTGTTCTCCTCTCCATGGCTTACCCATCCATCCATCTATCATCTCTGCTCTGCTTACGCCAGAGGGAGCCTTCCCCACATTTAATTTTTAAGAATTATGACTTCCGGGACGCCTGGGTGGGTCAGTGGTTTAAAGCCTCTGCCTTCGGCTCAGGTCATGGTCTCAGGGTCCTGGGATCGAGTCCCACATCGGACTCTCTGCTTGGTGGAGAGCCCGCTTCCTCCTCTATCTCTCTCTCTGCCTGCCTCTCTGCCTACTTGTGATCTCTCTCTGTGAAATAAATAAATAAAATTTAAAAAAAAAAAGAATTATGACTTCCCTGCTTGACAGGGACTTCTCTTGTAAATCCAAAAAATAATATTAACAACAGCAGCAAGAGCTACATGAAGCATTGCGACACCGACTCTTCTCCTGCATTTCTCCCTGATCCTCCTAGCACTGTTATGATAGGAGAGTAACCTTATTGGTATTATTTAGGTGAATAATTGAGTCTTAGAAAGGCTTAATAACCACACTGTTAACTAGTCGTAAAGCCACAACTCAAATTGTGTCTTAACCACTGAGCTACCCCATAGCCTCAGGAGAGACTTGCAGACTCGGAGTACCGGAGTGGGCTTCTTAGTCCCCTGCTGGTGATAGGGCGACTTTAATTCATGAAAATGACACAGAGTGCGTGTCTTTGTCCTTTTGGGCTGCTTAACAAAACACCACAGACTGGGGGGTGGGGAGCATCTAAACAACAGAAATTAGTCTCTGACTGTTCTGGAGGTACAGTATCAGGGCGCCGGCAGGTCTGGTGTCTAGTCAAGGCTGTCTTTTCTCTATGTCCTCATTTGACAGATGGTTAGGGAACTCTCTGGAGCCTCTTCTATGAGGGCACTAACCTCATTCAGGGGTTCCACCCTTATGACTGAAGCACCTTTTGAAGGCCCCTTATAGGTTGGATTTCACCTTGTGAATTTGGGTCGGCCCCAGGTAGGAGGGCAGGGACATAAACCTCAGGCCAGAGCAGTGGAGAAAAGCACTAAGGTCAAAACTCATCTTTTTGGGGCGCCTGGATGGCTCAGTGGGTTAAGCCTCTTCCTTTGGCTCAGGTCATGATCCCAGGGTCCTGGGATCGAGCCCCACATTGGGTTCTTTGCTCAGCAGGGAGCCTGCTTCCCTCCTCTTTCTGCCTGCCTCTCTGCCTACTTGTGATCTCTGTCTGTCAAATAAATAAAATCATTAAAAAAAAACAAAACTGATCTTCTTGAATCCTTAGGGGCTTTACTCAAGCACCATGTTACGCAGCTGCAAGGCAGTGGACTTCCTTTCGTGTGTAGGATGTGATCGCTTCTCATTCTGCTTCCTTTGTTGGTCTGGAAAGGAGAGTGGACACTGTAACCTGATGTCGTTTCTGTGGAGCTATATCAGGCCACATCTTGAGAAATTTTATTTAAATTCTTGGCATCTGCGGTTTAATTTTGAGAATTTAATTTACTCTTCAGCTTGAATCCCAGATGCAGGCTCTAACTGATATGGTTGACTTTGAAGGGGACACATTTAATTAGGATAGATTCGAAAGCTATTTTTATCCTGTGGATTTATTTCACAGGATAATTTAATTCCATTCAGGTTACCGGCCTGAGAGCAGAGTCTTAAGGATAAGCCTGTGAAAACCAAGTCCTTGGGACTCACACACAGTAAAGGGCACAGTTGGGTCACAAGGTGTGAATTTGATCCAGAGAGCACAGAGAGATCCTGGGGAGCATCAGATAGACTCGTTTATCAGACACGTCCTGGGATGGCTCTTATCAGAGCCAAAATGATCTTGAGGATGATGCCTCTGACCTATCCAAATACAGGGACACTCATTTTACAGTGTTTTGCTTTACTGAACTTCACAGATACTGTGTTTTATGTACATGTATACACATATATATATGTGTATATATATATATATATACATATATATATATATATCTGTGTGTGTGTGTGTATGTATAAATTGAAGGTTTGCAGCAACCGTGTTGAGCAAATCTACCAGTGCCATTTTTCCAAAAGCATTTGCTTAACTTGTGTCTGCCACATTTTAGTAATCTAGGGATGTTTCAAACTTTTTCACTATCATTGCATTTGTTATGGTGATCTGTGATCAGTGATCTTTGATGTTACCATTGTAATTGTTTTGGGGCGTCATGAATTGCACCCCCACGACACAGCAAATTTCATCCCCGGATACATGTGTTCTGACTTCTCCGTTGACCAGCCATTCCAGCATTTCTCTCGAGACTTCCCTGGGCCTCCTTATTCCCTGAGACGCAATGATATTGAAGTTGGTCTAGTTAATAACCCTGCTGTGGCCTCTGTAAGTGTTCAAGTGAAAAAGAATAGTCACGTGTCTCTTACTTTAAATCAAAAGCTAGAAATGATTAAGCTCAGTGAGGAAGGCATATTGAAAGCCAAGATAGGGTGGAAACTAGGCCTTTTGCACCAGTCAGCCACGTGGTAAATGCAAAGGGAAAGTTCTTGAAGGAAGTCAGAAGTGCTAGTCCAGTGAACACATGAATGATAAGAAAGCAAAACAGCCTTAATGCGGATGTGGAGAAAGTTTGAGTGGTCTAGGTAGAATATCAGACAAGCCACAACATTCCCTTAAGCCAAAGCCTAATCCAGAGCAAGGCCTTCACTCTCTTCAAGTCTGTGAAGGCTGAGATGGGTGAGGAAGCTGCAGAAGAAAAATTTGAAGCTAGCAGAAGTTTGTTTTTTTTTTAAATTTTTAATTTTTAAAATTTTAAAATTTTTTAATAAACATATAATGTATTATTAGCCCCCTTTTCCTATCCCCCAAACCCCCTATGTTGCATCTCCACTTCCTCATATCAGGGAGATCATATGATAGTTGTCTTTCTCCAATTGACTTACTTCGCTCAGCATAATACCCTCTAGTTCCATCCACGTTGTCGCAGATGGCAAGATTTTATTTCTTTTGATGGCTGAGTAGTATTCCATTGTATATGTATACCACATCTTCTTTATCCATTCATCTGTTGATGGACATCTAGGTTCTTTCCATAGTTTGGCTATTGTGGACATTGCTGCTATAAACATTCAGGTGCATGTGCCCCTTCAGATCACTATGTTTGTATCTTTAGGGTAAATACCCAACAGTGCAATTGCTGGGTCATAATGTAGCTCTATTTTCAATTTTTGAGGAACCTCCATGCTGTTTTCCAGAGTGGTTGCACCAGCTTGCATTCCCACCAACAGTGTAGGAGGGTTCCCCTTTCTCCGCATCCTCGCCAGCATCTGTCATTTCCTGACTTGTTAATTTTAGCCATTCTGACTGGTGTGAGGTGGTATCTC